AATTACATACCTTGCAAGAGTCACAATTTAGAATAGGTTTGTAGTGTTTTCAAAAGGCATTAAGGCCATTACTGTCAGTAACTACGTTCTGTATTTCCTTCAAAAGCGTTTCGAGAGATTGTCTGAGGACTTTGTTAGTACAAGGAACTTTATCTGTCAAAGTGCTTTAAACTGACAGATTGATAACACAAATCCATTGCACTAAAATCTTAAGTAAAATAATATACTGTCTAAAAACTAATTAGGAAGAAAAAAAAACTGAATACATTGTTAAATAAGAAAAGCCACACTCCTAATGTTTTTTTGCTTTCTGAGGTTGTGGAAGAGAATCCAGTGAGATTCTTGGAGAGGCTCTGCTCCTCGTATCTAGCTCCAGTGATAATGGAAAACTGGGGCATAAACAGTCTCTGTGAAGTCTTAAGAACACAACTACAGAGAAAATCTGAGGAACAGGAGGTTGAGTCAGGGTGTTTGGGAAGTATTCTGAGCTTTCTTTCACACTGTTTAGAGCAGCTGAAGAATATTTTTTTCTGCATATGTATAAAGTTGTATATAACTGATATTGGAGGACTCTGATCATAATAAACTCTTTTTGCTGTGTGCAAATGGTTGGCAAAGAGGGAATATTTAAGCTAGCACAGCAATAATTATTTTATTGACTTTTGGCTATAATACTAAACTCCACTGCTTTACCGAGTGACTATTTTTTTAATTACCTTTCAAATTGGCGATACATTTCAGGTCTATAAGCGGTTTCTATTTTGTATAGCAGGTGACAAATTAGGGTTAATTTAAAAATGTCATGCTATTCCCATGCTCTACCTGCCTGAAGCAAAACCAAAGGAATTCTTTGTTGACTGCTTTTGTTGACTGCTTGCAAAGTTTCCAAAATTAGGAATTTGCTCTTGATTTTAAGACAGATTCTAAGATATGCATAGTTGATTTGCCAGCACTTGTCACTTAGCTAAATCATCCTAGCTAGTAGTAAAGATCATTGAAATTGTGTAAGGTTGGACTTCCTAAACCTGTCCTTTAATCATCAGGTATGGTTATTGCTGAGTATTGAAGCAGTGGCCAGTGGAAAATGCTGGTGGAGCCACAGCTGTATTTCTCACAGGATGCTTTTGTTGCATCACTTCACTCTCATTCAGCCCGTGACAACTGTTTGTGCATTTATTCCACAACTGACACTGCTGTTCATCTGCAGTTCATTCATAACTGATCTATAAATCCTCAGCCCCTTTTCCTCCTGTTTTGTCTATAAGACTTCCCAAATGCACACTTGTGATTAGACCAAGTGGTAAGGCAGGTTATACACTGCACATTTTGCAAGGTTTTTAGTGCTTTGAAAGCATCAACATGCAGAGCTCACGTGTTAACATTACTTCTGCCATTGGTTTTAATTTGGCCATTTTAATGTTCCTTCTGTCTTCTTTCCCATAGTTAAAACTGTCCTATCAATCAAGGCTTCTTTTAAATGGTATTAAGAACTGTTTAGAAAATAAATATTGCTTCTCTTTAGCTTTTATAGATTATAGCCCATTGCAGAGCTGAAGAGGGAATAGGCAGAGCCCTGGGGTGCAGTGGAGGTGGTGTCTTTCCTGAGGCGTCCCTGCAGCCTGTTCTGGGACATTCAGCAAGCCAGCATCACTGTGTTTTTGCTCATCCTCTCATTCCCAACATATCCTGCCTGTGTGGGGAAGAATCTGAACCTCATTTGTTTCTGTGGTTGGCTAACCCCAGTTGTAGTCCTTGGTAGGAGACAAGTAGCAAGAGGTTACTCTGAACAACACTCCATAGTGCTAGCATGGCATCCACTGTGGCAAAAGCATCAGCACTTCAAAATCCACAACTTGAAAGCTGGCACAGGGGAGGCTGGAAGAGTACCCTGCCGAATAAACCCCCTGCATAGAACAGAAGTAGATGTGTATAAAAAACCACTATGCTGTAGTCCAGGGCTACTTATTTCCCTCTTATACTGAGAGCAGCACAAGAAGTCATGTCTGTCCTTGTAGAAGTGTTTGTGTGTTGCGCACCTAGTTGCTAAGATGATCCAAGCAATCAGCAGGATGTAACACTAAATAGGACATTGATGGCACTGCATAGGTGTTAGAAGACAGGTGGGTTCAACTCTGTCTTCTTTCAAGTAGGGTCTGTCTTCAGAGCAAGAAAAGATGGTTTTTTTACCCACTGAAGCACTTGTCTAGAAGCACTTAAAGTCCCATTGCAAGAGGTAGCATTGCGTGTTTAGTATAGATGATAAAGTGGAGAGGCAGGGCAAGGGAGCAAGCATGGAGATGGGTAAGGAGGAAATGGGTAATTTTCAAAAGATACTTTTTTTCTTTGGTTGTTTGTTATAGGTAAAAGTTCTCACAGATGAGTTTTGCTTCACCTAAGTAGCTGGATGTGTTTGAGAGACAGTAAGTAGAAGAGGAGATTGAGTGCTGTAAGAGCTGATCTAGATGATGTAACGTCTTCATTCTCTGAAATTTTACTGCAGACTGAAGGATCACTCTTCTGTTGGAAAAGCTGCTGATTTTTTAATTTGTTTATGCTTTTGTTTAGAATGGGCACAATGCACAAAACTGGAAGACATCAGTCCTTTGGGTTTATGGAAGCCCAGTTTGTGCTGAAGGGAAGCGTAACTGTTTGCTTGTTGTTCTTAGTTTTAACAAAAGCCTTGGAGGCTGTAATTCAGCTAATTCATGTTTTTAAACATTAATACTGAAGTGGGCTTGTTTTCATCTTGGCACCTGTCTTTACAGATGCCTGAAAACGCATTTCTCAGGTCTACACTAGAATGTCATAGGGGTGTTTTCAGGGCTGGTGAATTGGTCTCTTTCTGATGGTCGACTAGTGAGGAAAACACTTGCCAGCTGACATGCAGCAGAGCTGGCTTCTGGGACTGACTCTGCCACTGGCTTGTTTGGTGGCTGTGGGCAGTCACTTGATGACTCTGTGACTCCATTTTCCCAGCTTAAAAACAAGAGTGATGATTTTTATTTCCTTTGTAAACTGCTTTGAGATTTGCTTTATACACAGCAAACATTACTAATAGTAGTCATATATATAATACTCTTCTAAAGCTGTAGGAAACTGTGAATCTGGCATAGTCCCTGCAACCAGTGGGGGTCCCTAAAACCATTCAGAATTAATAGCTGGAGATTCACTGTTGTACAGACATGCCCAAGCTCCAGAGATGCGACTGCAGCTCCAACAGGTATGTCCAAGCTTGCTGTGAGCTCTGGCACTGCTAATGGGGCACCCGTGGCAGTGTGCAGCTCAGCGTGTGCTGCTGACTGCACCCAAGTAGCTTGGTAGACACCAGGGTGATGAGCCCATGCTGAGCTCCACACTGCTGCAGTGGCATTGTTGCCGCTACCTCCCCTAGTTTAATTTAAAGCTGTGGTATAAGAATACACCCTACAAGAGACCACAGGCTTCAGAGAAAGTGCCTTAGTTACATTTGCTATGAAGCATGGGCTGCTGGCATTGTTTCAAATTACCTTACCTTTGGCTTATCATTCTCATACTCTGCAAATACAGTTCTGGTGTCAAAGCAAGGGAAGGTTTTGTTCATCCTTTTCACCTATTGTGACTGGTGTTCCAGACTAAAGGCATGTTTAAAATAGGAATTTAAATGCCTTACTTTTCATTCTGGTTACCGCTTTATCTGCACATAATTCTCATCTACCTTTTTCTCCCATAAATGTGGAGGGTGCTTTAACATGGTGACAATAATCCTGAGAAATAGCTAGTATCACTGTTTTTAGAGAAAGAGAGAAATCAAGGCAGAGGAAAAGTTATCTGCCATGGACTAAACAGGGTCTCAAGGTGGAAGAAGGAACTTGATCTAGGCATTTCTTTTTCATTAGGGGAATCAGTGGTGTTTGGACCACATGAATCACTGTTAATCAGTAACTCATCAATTACCAATTCCATACTAATCCATTTTATGCCAGGTCCTCTGGTTTTGTTCACCTTATATCAATGCCTTTAAGAAAAGTCTTAAGTACACTTAGAAATGACACAGCAAATTAATAATAAACTAAATAATTCAGTACTCTATGGAACAAGCATCCTCCTAGATGTATCAGATAAATAAAACATGGATTAGAAGTGTCTCTGAATGATGGTATTGTAGGAAAAGCATCTCAAAAAATAAAGGAGTAATGATCACATCCTTTGCTGGTTTATAGTCTTCCTTTCTTAATATCGCTAAAATAATTGGCTCCAAATTCAAATGCTTATGGGAAAGGTGTACATTGAAAAGATCTGGGTGTAAGTCTCATAAACTGTGCAAAGTATCAATTCATTTGGCAAAATATTCTCCTAGAAAACAGTTTGTGCCAGTTCAACGCTATTTGATGGCTGATTCCTCAAAGATCTATTCTGAGTACAGAAAGGAGCCACATGATTCATTCAGCTCGTGCATATCTATTTTACCTCGATAGAAGGATTATATATGGGGAGATAAAGGTTTGTTAAACAAAGTATCATTAATCACTCTGTCTGGAAATGTAGACTTTGCAGGAGCATGCTGTAATTTGCATCACTTTTGCTGTGCCTTGCCAGTGCTGCTGGTGAGAAATAACAAACCTGTATTTATGAAAAGGACAGGTTTAAGATGAAAATAATTCTATCTGAAAACTGTGAGAATGGTACAGAATCCTGTCGCCTGCACTCGTTCAACGGGAGAACACTGTATTTGTAATAAATTCCTTTTGCTCTGGATGAGTTCTGCATTTTCAATGAGGTTAACTTGGCAACATTCTAGTTGATTTTAATAAAAATAGCTTCTTTGAGGACAGGGAGCTGAGGTTGCCAAATTTACAGCTGCCTTGCACAATTACTCTTACACCTCCTTCAGGGCTACTTAGAACCAGTAAGCAAATTAAGTGTATCGATTGCAATTTTGTTGGACTAACCCTTTTTTCTTAAGGAATAAACTTGATTCCTTTCAGTATGTGTCTGCTCAGAGTGATCTCTTTTCTTTTCAGCCATAACACAAAGACAACATCATGGCTGGATCCACGACTTGCGAAAAAGGCTAAACCTCCAGAAGAGTGCAAAGAAAATGGTAGGTTATTAAGTTTTCGTTGCTGTTCAGAGGGGATTTGCCTTTGTGTGTGTGTGTCTCTCTCAGTTCTTACAAAAATCAGGCATTTAGGGGAATGATGAAAGGTGTTTAATTGCTGCTTTGGTTAGAAGCCATAAGTGATACCAGTTCTCAGTGTGCCATGTGTTTCTGCTTTTTATTCCCCTTTCTGATGCTATCCAAAGCTGAGGATCACAAGTGTGTTTTCTGCCTGTTGTGTGTGTGACTCCGGGACTGACCCTCTCCCTCATCTCCTACAGAGAACTTTGGTCTGCAGAACAGAATCCCTTTTCAGATTCTGAGCTTTTAATCTACAGGCGATTCAATGCATAAGGGAAACTAGCAGCACCGTGGGAATATGAATATTGTTTGATTTGTATTTAAAGGTACAGTGCTATGCTATTTAGTAGCCAATTTAAACAAAATAGTGTCTGATAAAACAGGGTGTGGGAGGGAGAAAAGAGATCAGTGTCTGTCAGAGTTCAAGGCTGGATTTGGGGGGTACTGCATTGTTAATGGTTTAAAATTTAACAGCATGAATACTGTTGAGGATGCTTAAAGGAGCTGTAGCTGTTGTGCAGGAGCGATGACTATATTGACATATTCAGAGATACGATACAATACAGATCATATCAAACTATCTTATATGCATTCAGTCTAATTTCTGTTTTTCCTCTGGTAAAGTTTCAGTAATCAAAATGATGTAATAAAGGCGAAGTAGAAATGCGTTGTAATAGATGTTTTTCTGAGGAGGCTTTTCCTATTGTTTTATAGTGCAGTGTCAGTTCAATTAGCCAGTTAAAAAGTGGTGATTTCTAAAGACTGCTACTTATTTTATTGTTGTGAGATACAGAGGATTAAATGCATGCATGCTATGTGCATTAATGCAAACAATTTAAAATTATTTTAAATGTGTTAATAGGTTTTCATGTCCTGCATCTGATTTATTTTAAGTTTTCCGAGATACATTCATTTGGTTAATGTAAATACTATTAGCAGAAAGAAAACTCAGTGCCGGTTTGGGTTGATAAAGAGGTCACTGAGGAATTGCTGGCTGTATGAAATGCAGGGTCAGTGTTTTGGTAAAGAATGTTCCTGGGATTTTTTTTTAAATGGCTTTATTTTGAAAGATTGCGATATTCCAAAAATCCCTTCCTTATTTCAGCAATAATTCTGATGTTCTATTCTGACATCAGAAATTACATGTCTGAATGATTTTGTGATGCTTATTCTAGCACTGACAACACAGGCTCCCAGAGTAAATTCTACAGTGAATACAACAGAAGTGTGCTACTGAAACAAAACAAGGGCATAGGAGTTTTGCATTCTAAATCTCTCACATTACTTATATGAACCTCTATCTTTGCCTGCTCCTTGAGAAATACTAGTGGCAAAGGCAGAAGAAAAATCTACCAGTATCTATGGAGCAACATATCGCAGACTTACTTGGAGTAAATGTGTTGCTTTTTTTTTCCTGTTAGCTGTATATATACTGAGATCACCACAAGCACTGGGATATTAAAAAAACCCCAGCCAACAAAAAAGTATCTGAAACAATTTAAAATGAAAATGCTGTTAAAGAAACAGTATTATTTTGTAGTTATTTGACTACCGGATTATCAAATTACTATAGTATGCTGGGTCATGTTGTTCTTGTAAGGGTTGTTCTTGCTCAGCTCATTAATGCAAAGTACTTGAAGCATAAAAGACTTTAGGGAGAGATTTTCTGTTCTTAGAGATTCTTCTTGCAACATCCTCTCTTTTCGTAAGATTCTTTGGTTGTTCAAGAATGTGGGCTTTTTTTTTTTAATTCAATACCTGTAGAAGAAAAGGTTCTTAAAAATCACTGATTTGCCTGTACCTTGCCACTGAGGTCCAAAACCAGGAACTTTGTTATTAGCACATGGGGATTTGGAATTCTTGTTTAGATTTAATGTCAGATCGAGGATTAATTTCACACATGCCTCAGTTATGGCTTGGTAGATGTTTTTTGTGCCAAACATCTACTGTTACACTTTATGATATATTCTGGCACATTCTGCTCAGAGAAACAGAATTTTAGACAGACATGAGTGTTTAGATAAGAAATGATCCTTACCTTGCTGCTTTATCACTATCTGCATAACTTGTTTTCATTGACATTCATTTTGTCACATCTGAAAGTTGCATTGATTCTCTGAGATACATTATGATGTCCTTATCACCTATCAGACTCTACTATCGGGCTTTCATTCTGAAGAACCCAACTTTCATGTTCTCCTTTCAGTGCAAATCCTGCCAAATCATAGAATCATGGAATGGTTACGGCTCCTTCTTCATTTTGCCACCAGCATGAAGTTTCCACACCAGACAACGTTCACACAGTGCACAATATTTGAGTCCTGATGTTCTGGGCTAATGATACTGAGGGCCCCCTCCACTCCAGGCATGAAAATCTTCCATTTTCAGCTCTTTAATACTCCTTTGCCAAATTCAATTTCTTCATTTTCTCTGGCTTCTATCTGCAAACCCCAGTGCTTGCTCATTTCTCTTTGCAAAATGTGAACCAACCTTCCAGCACATCCCTCCTCTTGAAAAATTTTCACATGCCTTTGCCAAGAGATTGACAAGCTCTACCAAGTCAAGCTTTCTTTGCATCTGTGCTCGGGACTCCTTCTGTTTTCCTTTAATGATACCCACTGCTCTAAACCCCTTTGTAGGTCAGGAGGTTTTAAGGGCTGATACTTACTTCTTTCTCTATCATGTAACTACTGTGTGAATTTCAGCAAATTACTCTGCCTTTTGCTCTGTCAGATCTACTTAGATGGCAGGTCTTTGAAGCAAGAATTGCCTCTTACTCTCTGTTTATATGGTGCCAATCTGAGTTTCATAATAGCGTTAAGCAGAAATAGCTGGCAGTTCTTCACTAAGACTAGAATTTTTATTTTCCTCCAGAAAATCTTACATTTATTAAAAATAATTGTGTTTTCTCTCCTGGAAATGTGAATGAAGTATTTGGGATTTCTGAATTGGAATGCTTCTTTTAAATTATTCCTTTTTGCTTTTTCCCCATCAAAATGGGTCAACCTATTTTTATCTGTAGTGTACTATGGAAGTTACAGTTCTGTCCCCTTTGTTTCTGAGCTAGATTCACTGGTTGCTACATTTCATGTAAAGTGATATTACATAGCAGACTCACAGGATTTGCCTGATTACAGGTATATTATGCAAGTGGTCTACTAACAGAGTCTGTTCATTGGAAGAGAATATGGAAAAGAATGACAAGTCCCATAAGGCAGTAAAGAATTTAGTTTAATATTGAAAGTCAGTTCAGCCTTAATGACATGAAATATCTGAGGTTTTAGAAAGTTCATTTTTGGTTAAGGAATGTAGTAATTAAATTTTTCAAATTCTTTAATTCATTTTATGGAAATTTCCATTCTGGGAAAAAGTGAACATTTACTTCTTTATCCAATTTGGGGATTAAAGAGCTGTTGAAATTTCCTGGGATCAGATACGTCAAATTTCACTTACTTCATTACTACAAATTTCACATAATTTCATTACCAATCCATCCCAGCCAGTAGTCTCCATCACTCTTAACCCATGCCTTCCTTTTTATGTCAACCTCCTTTCTCCTTAGTTTTCAAATCCAAGTAGGCTTAAAACTATAAATAAAGCTTTGATTTCACCTAGCATTCATCTGTCATCTGTCTTTTTATCTCCTCTACACCCACCAACTTGACTGCAAAGTATGGATGTTTATTTAGGGTGAGCCGAGTTGCCTTTAAACTTCATTGACTGTGAATGTCAGCTCTATTTTGACAATTAGAGGGCACAGATACCTGACTTACACCTCTATGTAGACAGATGTTTAGGTATCTTCACCTTGAACTGAACCCCACCCTCCTGTCACATTTTATCAGTTTATTCTTTTCCCCATTCCTGTAGTCACCTTTTGGTGAGCTCACTGCTACGCGCAGCTTCAGTGTTCTTCATGCCAAAGACACGCAGATCTACCCATGTCCTCTTCATCTTTCTGTCCTAGTTGAGCACCTTATTTCATGCTAAATATGATGTCTCCCATTGGACATCTCCCATCTTGAGCAAATCCTCCAAGCAAATTCCCTTTTGCTAATAGCAACACTTTCCACCTTCATACATCCTTGCCTTGCCACTTCATGGCATACAGGACTTCTTCCTTCTACTTTTCACCCAGACAGCAGAGTTCTTATTCAAGGCTCTGTGTGGCACATGCAGTGTGTCATAGCACATGCGGTCACAAATTCAGGAATTCATCCCCCTTTCCTTCTTTGAGAACATTGTCACCATCTTGATCAATCATCTCTAAACATTTCAGAATTCTCAAAAAAAGGAAAGCTGTAGATTTATTGCTTGAACTGATTTCTTAAACTTATGTATTTATATATTTAATGCAATTCTTCCATTAAATAAATAAATAAATAAATCCAAAAAACAAGTGTTTAATTTGGAATCATAAGGGCAATCACTGATTGCGCTGTCTGTAATCTCAAGGGTATAACTATCTCAGGAAACTAGTAACTTTTCACATGAGTAAATAGGCCCACTTTTCCTTACTTTTTCCCGAAACTTCATGTAGTGCATTTTTAACTGGACATGTCTCTTGTAAGACACAGGAACACCTTTGTTCACTGCATTTTCAGTTCGGAAATGTCTGAATGTTACTGAGATTTAAGATGAAATGTTTTCAAACCATTTTGTGTTACATTTCACGAGTTCTTTAATGCTGGAAAGCACTTTTTCAAAACCTCACCATTTAACATACAGTCCCTCTTCGTGTTCCTGTTATAAGCTGCTGCCTCACCATTCATATATTCCCCTATCTAACCCTAAAAATGACTGAAGCCCAGCAATTAGTCTTGACTATTTTGCTTGTTTCCAGCAGATACTCCTCCTTCATAAACCGTCTAACTGACAGAAACTAGACTCAAACTTCCAGTGACAGGAAAGGGCACCTCTGT